CTAATCATTTAAGCCCACAGCTGCGAGCTTTACCGCATCTGTGAGGGTTGAGGACTCCATGGAACGTTTTTGAATGTCACTTTGGAGAATTACTTTTCCGACAGTCTTGAATAGTGGTTACATACGAATAGACCAATTTTGCTAGATGGATCTCTCAAGGGAGCTCATCATTGACTTATGGTCAAGGTTACACTCCGATGACTTATAGTATTCTGTGGCCAGGAATTGTACTCCCGCGGAGGTGATCTCGAGTTTTCGCCTAATTCAGAATATTAGGTCATAATTTTAAAGTTCGAGAACAGTTCCTGTAGCTCGCAATGTGGATCCAATGATACACTTGCATACCTTCCTCTTCAACAAATATGACAAAATGTAACAGATAAATGGAACATTGCGCTTATTCTAGTGAATGTCGAATGTTGGAACCGTCCATAAAGCACTATATGCAGAAGTTTTGATTTCATACGGAGCATAACTACTTGCTCTCACCTACACTATGAGAGTGCCACCATTGCGGCATGGCTGCCCTTGGTATCATGGAGTTGTATTTGCACCACTATTGCATACCTGGCAGAGTTCGATGCTGATCGATGATGATGATCGATCGATGATCATTCGAAGTTCGATGAATTCATTTGGAAAATCAGGATTCAATTATGCTTTTAACACATGAAACCGGCATCCAAATCTTACCTATTTAACTGCTTCTCCATTTAAAGGAATCCTTCGCGGAAAATTCTTGCATTCTTTCTCAACATGAATGTGTCAGTTGTGATCACTGGAAACAGCACACAAAGTTTCACGCATGAAGATTCGGTTTCCGAAGAGAAACAAACTCAAAAACTACACTCTATGGACAATCGAAGGTAAGGCGGCGGAGCCAAAGGCGGGGCATGGAAAGAAGTCCGCCTTGGGACATCAGGCGACGCAATGAAAGAATCGGGTTAAAGCGCGCGATTTTGGAGAGTAGAGACAAATCGATCGATAGAATAGGATGGAGTAGAAGTGTGAGATGTGAATGCAATAAGTCAAAAGGCCAGAAAGAGTTTCTAGTGAAGGCACTCCAAGAACCAAGTGGAAGCATTCCCGTCGCCAGCATTTGTGACAGATGTGCCGGCGGTACTTTGAACGCGCCGTTTCGGTTTTTCGAACAAAAAATACAAATTTTCTGTTCTTTTCATTGTTATCGTGGATGATGAATCTCAAGCCAGTGATTCAGGGCTGAAATGATATAGGATCATGGTTTTTCTGTGGAGGATTCCTTCAAGGTTCCATAGAAACTGGAAACCACTTCCTGGTGCACTGTGTGCGATTTTACTTGTGTATTCTTCGGTAACCGATTGGTTTCACTTCTTTCTGATTCTGTCATCAACTAGTCTCTATTGAACAATATGGTGAAGTCCACGCATTTCGACGCTGAGCGTGACTGGCCTGCCCCTTTTCCTACGAATTCTGTTTTTCCCAAGCAGTGTTTGCTTCGTGCGTATCCATATTCGTATTGAATACTTCGCCTTACATTTCCCTTACAAGAAGAATGATGGTTTTTTTTTAGGTGAATTCAACCAGATGAGAGCCGCACGTGATTTGCCAGCGCACACATCTCGTGAGAGTCTTGAAGCTTCAATATTGTTTCTAGATGGCGACACTGCGGAGACGGTACGTGATTGTTTTTTTGTTCCTGCTAACTTCGCGAGGAGTTCCCAGTGGCTAGTACATTCTCAGTACACACGGAGGAAAACCAAACACCTTTGTGACGAACAGTTCTGACGCAAGCGTTTTTGGAGCAAATCATGCTAATCCGCTTGGTGGCTCAGACCGTCAGTTCTTTGAAACAATCTGAAATAGCAATGGTTGCACAAAATATTTTAAGCCCTATCACAAGATACGGGGCATTGTGGTGGCGGTGCACCTAAGTGCGCAAAACTTGTGCAAGGAACACGGAACTACGACTTATTAGATTGTCTCAAAAGTTCGTGCGTATTTTTTTGGATCTCATGCTACATGCTCATTTTGCCTTTTCTAACTAGGCTCACGTAGGCTGTGGAAGGGGCACAACGTGTAACAATTTATACCCGATCAACCTCATCCTAACCGCAGCTTCGGGTTCGCTATGAGAAAAGAAATGAGCCGTTTTTTTCTCACTTTGATTCATGCATTCGTTTTTCTCTGCAAAGCCACAAATCGATCAAAGCCGGAAGTAACATCTGTTTTGCGATACACGTCCTTGCCTTTGACGGGCAGGTACCAGAATGGTTTGATCTCCGTCGCTCAGGAGATTACAGCCTGGAGGAAAACTCACTCAACTCCAGGAAAGCCATCGGTGTCGGATTTGACAGCTGCGCTCTCCACTGAAAGCCAAGTCGCAAGCGGCTAACCTACCATCCATCATCCCTGACGTTTCGGATGCACAGTTCATGGAGGCTTTCGCTCCTTCGTAAAGGGACTGCCAAAGATTGCCTCACAAATTGACCACTGTCAGGAGTGCGACACGAGTTTGGTCCATGAAATGCTTTCTACTTCACCCGTGCCACTAGCTAAACAAAGCCGCTACAGCAGTTAAGATGTGGAGCTTCCGTGGCAGCAACATGCAGAAGCCACATTGGCTGGATCGAGCAGAAGAGAATAAAAATTTACAAACTCACCATAAAGTCATGCTGCGCCTTTCTCGGAGCGTACTCAAGTTAACCACGAGAATTCACCCTCCTCCCCCCCCCCCCTCCTCATAGCGGTCAAGTCAGTCAAGTCTTGTGTGATCAATGACAGAGAATCACAGCGAAACTCCAGCAACTATTCAAAACGCAAAAAGTACTGTCGGCTCCACGACAACCGAGACCACACGTTTCGAAAATGACAGCGATTCTAGATATTGAAGCTTAGCTGAAAAGTCCTACCACATTCATCGTGCAGCGGTAATCATCCTCTTTCGAAAGACATCTGCCCTTTCTGCTCAGCCGCCTTCGTGCCGACAAAAAATACGATTCCCACGAGCACCTCAAAATCAACCTCACTGCCTTTTTCAGCTCATAACTGCCAGCCTTTTGAGAGTTAACCATTCTTGGTTGGTCGTTGGCAACAAGTCACTGATAGTGGTGGTGCATATATTGATGATAGATAATGCATGTGCTTGAAACAGAGTAGGCTCGAAAAGAAGTTCAAAATACGCACGACTTTTGAGACAACCTAATAATTTTCCTGAGCGGCTCTCGATGTCAAAAAATGTCTAAAGGAGCTCGAGCGCCACCTCCTTTGACACCAATTTTTTGGCAGAAAGCTACTCATATGACTTACAGATGGTCCTGGCAGTAAAATGGCATTCATCACTAGCTGGTGCACCATTGCGACTTGACGCCAGCATCAATCGGTAATGCAGAACTTTCCCACCAAGGGGTTTCACACAAAAAGTCAATCTTTCATTCCTTTTTTGTCTTCCAGAAGGCCCCTCGGGAGAAATGGAAAATAGTTCCACGTTCAATGCATGTCTCTCTATATAATGCGCAATACCGTATTGAAAAAGCTGAGCGTGCCTGAAAGACCTTCCTGGTAAGCCTTAGGGGTGTAGGTGAGCCTTTAAGATGCATGAGCATTTTTCTTTTCCCTGGAGTCTGCCCGCTCCTGGATTAGCGCTAGAGAATGCCCCGTATCTCGCGATACCGCTTACTTTACAATTGCTCTGAATTTTCTATGAAATTCTGTCACTTTTTGGCATAATTACCTATTATTATTCCACTGGATTACAATAGCACCAATGATTTGAATCATCAAAGTTTTCATCTCATTTCAATCAACCTCAGTTTTCAGAGCAGCGAGTTGTGTATGTCGGACGAGAATCTCGAAGGCTATTCGACACCCACTGGAAGCTCGCCACAACTGGATTCCAAGTGAGTTTCTCGTTCTTTTCTACTACCGCCCTCTCCTCTCCCGCCTCTATCTGAACCATCAGCCTCATCAAACAAACCTACTTCATCGCTTACGCACTTACCTGCCCTTTGGATTTTTACATAAAATTGAGAATCAAGCAGATGTTGTACTGTTGCAAGAATGCTTCTTTTTTGACACTTATGATCAATTATTTTTTTAATCAAGCAAAGCGAAGACGGCAGGCGACCCCGCACCACACGTTTGGCCGGGATATCAAATACCGAAACGAATCACGCTCAGATCAATCAAAGCTCTAATATTTTCTGAATCGTTCATTTGGATCAAGCCCAGTTGGATGCGCGCGCTGACGTGCGTGCGTGCCCCTTCCTTTACTTAAGTTTGGACCAAACACTTCTTCTCAAAATTTTCGACTGAGAGGCGAAGTTGTGGCGCATAGTAACAGCAACAATATCTTCTTCGATCCTTTGATTATTTTTCGATCTCCTTCGCAATTCGTTGCGCCTATTTTGCATTATTTTAAAAATCTTAGAGGAATATTTTTTCGTGGTTTCCATTTCAGAACACTGCGTAGTGAGGAGGTGACAGTCTTCGTTACCATTCGCATTGTGTAAATATTCCCTTTCCCGACCGTTGCTTGCGAAAATATAGGATTGTATGTGGCTCACCAGTGCCAAACCCGAAATATTTTCTAACATCTCAATGCACGCGCTGTGGTTGACTGAGTGTTCGTGCTAATTTGAGCCAGCAATTTCACTGGTTTCAACCTTCCAAATTCAATTCAGAACGATTCATCCGCCATCAGTGCAATCATGCTCATGCACGAAAATTGAAAACTCAATTGGAAATTATTCTTCCAACAGTCCGTCTTGCGTGGTTTTTTTTTACTCTTCGCGTTAAATTCATTGCATTTAGTGCAATCTCCAGTCCTATACTTGCACCAATCACTGGTACATATCTGCTCATTCTACACTCTAAGAAGAATCTGCCCAGAGCAGAAGTTATTCAAAAGTAGGAACTCCTATCTAGAATATGTTGAACATCTGCACGCATGCTCGTAAACATCTGCTGGGAACTGGTGTAGAAAGTAGGACAAACACTTGAAAATCTTTTTCACTTACGCTGTCTCAGCAACATCTGCTCTTTCGCTCTCATCAATAGAGAAGAGAGAGACAAAATTCCATCGAAATGAACCCGTCATTCAAATGGGCTGCCTGTCATATCTACGCCAAATTCGGAAAACTGGTGACATAATGAGGTCATACACCACATTTTTTGTACGCTTGTGCAAGGAATCGGAGCGATTTCAGTAAAAGGCCAATCTAATGGCGCAGTGAATTTGTTTGGTAATGTAACACAGTAAACTCCATTAGCCAACTACTGCGCTGGTTGGAAGGGCACATGGTAGGAAGACACAATTTTTCAACGTCCCGAAAAATTGGAAAAGCAGGGCCGCCATTCCTCGAGCGCCAAACTCGCAGTGTGCTTGAAGGCACAAGCAGCACGCGAGAAGCATTGCGTTTCAATAATGACAGTAACGGAAAGGTACCAATCGTCTATAGCTACTAAAAATACCGCTGAAAGTAATCTAGGAAGAATAACAAGAATGCTGATTTGGCAACTATCGCCCCAGCCGGGATCCGTACCCGGATCTCTTGCCTTGCGGGCAATTGTGCTACCAGTTAAAATCTGGAAGTAAATTGTGGTACAAATCACTTGTTTTGTTCTTATTTTCCTTTTGATTTGTTTCATTATTTTTGTTTTCATTGAAATATTCAGTTTTTTTATTACAATTTTCATTCATTCCCTAACCTGTTGAAATTTTACATTTTTCCGAGGAACTCTACCGTTTCCTCCCTGCCCCTGACTTATTTTCTGTGATCTGTTGGGAATAGAAATCGCTCATCAATAGTAAGTTCTGGAAGTTCTATCGCCGCTCTTTCGCTAAGATGTTACGATGTTAACGCTGGCTGCGTTATCGCCTGATACCCGGCACCACCCTCGCCTCGCCGCCGTCTCCCTCCTTTCTTTGTGGCGTTCGTTCTTTGTTCCCTTCAAGTACCCGTTCGTTCGGTAAAAGCGAAACAGCACATTTGAGTCACCATATAGGGTGTTTCATCAAGGCGATACTTAAGTTTTCCTGTGATAAATTTAGTTTCTACTCATTTCTTTGAATTTCTCGCTGAATCACGCTTTAACGCAAAAAGTAATATTGAAAATTAGAACGTAAAAGAATTGATGTGAGTAATGGTCCTCCCGACCTCCCTGTAATGCCTTTATACCTACGACACACCCTTAATTTATTCGCAAGTTGCCTAGATGCTGATTTCCCTCGACCAAACTTGTGAGTTGGGCCCTTGTCTAGTAAACTTAAGAGATCCGCGCAAGCAGAGTGTCGAGGTAAATCTAACACTACGGTCTATTATTGAAATCCGTTGTAGAGTAAGCGAAAAATTATATGTGCCAGCATAATCAGATAAGGGTGCTCGGTGAAGTGGGCGGGACAGCTGGTGCTACTTTGTTGAACATTTGGGTTGTGTACCTAGTTCGTCCTCATCACTACCATTTCTAATTTCAGCCGGACGCCATCTCGCGATCGCCACCACATTTTGAATCGCCTCAATCGAACAAAGAACGATACTTCCTCGATGGTTTGAGCTCTTCATTCTGATATTCTATGCGTTCAGTCATGTTTGAATCTCTAGAAGTGTCCTGTTATTGAACTCTTTCTACATACTCTAGTGCGATTCCCAATATTACAATCGCGTCCGACGCGTTTCGTCCTGAAAACGTGTTTCAACACTCGACGACCACACCTTTTTGTGGGCGTCTCGACCACAAATCACTGCGCATGGTTTGTCATCGCTGGCCATGAATGACCATTTCTTCTAAGTAAAGTGTTGAGAGAAAATCCTCCAACACTTTCACACCAGTAATGCCTCATCGCCGGAACCGCCTTCTATTGTTAATCATGTCTTTCATTTTGTTGTACAAATAAGTGCTACCTCACCTTCACGGTTGTGCATGCATTTCAGGAAAGTCATACAATGGCTAACGTCGATATGCCACAGGATTCAAAGCTACAGAAATCTCTCATCGAGGAAAATCGAGTGTTAAAAGCCCAAATCAAAGAGATCGTTAACGGCTCACGTGTTGTGAGTGAACAGCTCCTTTGATTTAATCAGAGCGTCATCAATTTTGCTTGCTGCCTAGCGATAAACGTGACTCATACTATTTCTATCAATGAGTTCGTTTTCCAAAGTACTAACCGCTAGTTTCCAATACTTCAAGGAAGGGCAGTCCCTGAACCGATTATTATTGCTAAGGCATCTGCGCACTACTAAGTTTTTGCTAATTTCGATTCTTTCTCCAACCAAGCGGCTGGTATACTTCTGAGTTCAGCTTATATTATATTAACATAGTTTACACGACTTGCTAGCCACCAAAATGTTGTATCCTCCCCCTCAAAAAGCGAGAAAGCGTCGGGTGCAGACCATACACCACAAGTGACGACGGCCTCCACAAAATGTAATGTTTTCTGCCAATGAAATGATTAGCCTGTTGCAGTTGTATTCTATCAGTTGTCACTAATTACAACTATCATTTACCAAAAATCAGCTATCACTATGAACCACTACTAACCAGATTTACTTGGAGGCCGTCGTCACTTGTGGTGTATGGTCTGCAACCGACGCTCATCTCGTTTCCTGAAAGGGACTGTAGTGGGAAAGCATACGCTGTTTGGTATTACTAATACCGAGGCTCTCAGAAACGAAACTTGAGAAAGCGAGAGTTTGTGATAGTGTGCATGCGTTTTCGTCTCCCAGAAAACACCTGCAAACGCTGATTGCATATTCTCACGGTTGACGGTCGACGGATTACCTTGAACTCAGCCCTTTAACCGCCTCTGCGCTCTCTCGCGGGTCCCTCTCCTCTCCAAGGCTTAGTCCTAGGGCATTCACCCGTTCTCTAATCGTCTGTGCTCTAGCCATCGCGGCAGGACCATTGAGGAAAAATCAAGTAGTCCGTAAACCCACGTTGACGATTCAATAAGATGATATGAAATAATTTTAGGAAGTCATCGAGAATTTACTACGAGAGAACGAGAAGCTTCAAGAAGAACTGAAGGAGGCGAAGTCCTACGTGGATCAAGTGGATGTTGAAGCAGAACAGGTGCAGTTTGTTCATTAGTGAAAAAATTTTCAAATTGTGCATCGCGTGTTCCTGCATCAACAGGAACGAGTTCGTAGCGGCAGATCATGAGTTCCACGCCTGTTTCGCTGTTCGCACGTACAACTGATCAAACGTGCACACCAGTCCTCAGAAAGTTTGAAAATTCGGAATAAAGTGGGAATTTTGAAGTAGTTCCGTACGAGGCGTGTCATTTCTGTGTTTTATTAAATTGGTACAAACTGCTGAGATGAGCCAGCTAGGCTCTCAAGACTGCTAGTCGAGATTTCAAAGAGACCTATTCAGTGCACCATGCAATCGAGTCAAATTCTGTGAAGGTAAATCAGGGAGGCAGAATCTCTACACCACTATTCAAAGGCGCTATGTGCCTCGGGGGGGGGGGCAGTCGCCGCGCGCGGCTGTGCGGCAACAGGAAATTCGAACATTCCAGCTTCTCACGGAACATTCCAGCTTCTCACGCATGTCATGTGACTGCCCTCACCCCCAACCCCCCTGAATTGGCTACACTCCCCCTGGCTCACGAATTTCCTGTTGCCGCACGCGCGCGCGGCGACTGCCCCCCCCCCCCCGAGCCACATTGCGCCCCATTCATATTACTTACATAGCTGGTCTGTAAAATTAAACTGTTTAACATCTATCGGAACATTTCGAAAGTGTGAAAGGTTTCATCTCATTTTCACGTGCTCAATGAATGACCTATAGCCCATGTACTTATTATCAAATTCTGACGTATTACCTTCTGAATTTGGAAACCAGTTTTTAGCGCCCGAGTATGTGACTATCACGCCATTTCTCTAGCGTAGAGGTATTTAGTTGGAGAGGATAATAGCGGTAAAAGCTCTCCCACTCGACGATGCCCTAAACTCTGTGGCCTACTTGATTGTAGCTACGTATTTCTCAGTGGCCCCCAGAGTCAATTTGTGGTGAAACCTACACGCGGGGAAAGAAGAATCCAGGGTCAAGCGAGGCGTCGAGGAAAATTCGGAAATACGACCCCCCCTCCCTCTGCCGAAGGCCGAAGTCCATGAAACAACCCTCTTTAAAAGCCGAACTATGAAAAAGTTGTTTAATTCTCCACCAAAACTGCTCATAAAAAAGCCCTGCTACCCCATCGTCCAAAAAAACTCGTTTAAAAAGTATAAAAGTGAAAAAGTCAAAGAATGATCATTAATGACGAGTCCTGTCAAACGAGCAAACGAGAAACGGAGCAAAAAACGTCAAACTAGTCACTAGAAATGGCGTACTATGACAACACCTCTTCTTTGTTTATTTCCTCCACAAGACTTACCAAATTCTAGTACTACACAGATTATGGTTCTCAATTTACACGTCCCCCTTTCGCTCAAAGGAAGCCTTGTAAAAGCCTTCGCCAGCTGTGTGTTGACTGGACTTTGGCGTTGACCGTGGAGCAGCTTATTTACTATTGAAATTTGAACAAATATTCAAATGATTATAACTTTCTTCAAAGTTAACGAATTTTCAATCTGAAAGCTGATTTGGGAGTTTTGTGAAGAGCTTTTTCTAATCAGTACTGAAATTACAGGAAGTTATAAGAAATAACAAATTTAGATCAAATAACGAGGAAAATTCGAGACGAGCACGAGTTTTTACACTTTCCGGAGCAATAACTTGCTTCATTTCCGTCAAATTCAAAAAGTTGATACGTCATACAAAACTAGAAGATTTTCTCTATCAAACGGTCGCTAAAGCAGCTTCATACGTCCAGTACTCAAAAAATGGCCACGTTGAGGATTTTTGCAAAATTAACGAGGAAAATTCGTGATGAGTGCGAGTTTTTACGCTTTCCAAAGCCATAACTCCGTTCAAACTCATGCAATCTGGAAAGTTAATACGTCATCATAAACTAGAAGATTTGCTCTTTCTATAGGCTAAAACTGCTAAATACGTTCACTATTTAAAAAATGGCCACGTTGAGGATTTTTGCCCGAGTACCGCCGAAAGGTACTTTTTCGCTACATTAGCACTATCCCAACGACTATAGCTCCTTGCAGGAGCGATTACATACTGAAGTAGGAGCAGATTCAAAATCCTCGTGCTTTTCTCTCTGCAAAAAGTGTAAAATTGTTTAGCGGGTCTCAACTTTAAAGGTTACATGCTTGTGAATTTGACGCTGAAGGCTGCGTTTCTTGTTGAATAGTGTACTCCTCTCTGTAATTTAACATGAACTCTTTCAGAACCCTCTTGATTCTTCCTGAATTAAGATTCGTTATCAAGATAGCCGTAGCTGAAGCGCGCGCAACCAACTGGGCCCACTCTGGGATGCGCCGTGTGCTTCACATCTCGTTGGATTT